CCCCTTGATTTTTAACTTTGCTTCTTAAAATATGAAAGTTAAATATATATGGGCTCTGTGCTTGGCATGGTGTTTAGAGGAAGAGGCAGGCTTTGGGAAAAAAAGGGAGCCAAGTCAACTTTGAAAATGGTCCTGTCCGATTGCAGGAAAAATTTTCCAAAACGTTTAGTGGCTAGAGAAACGATAGGATGGGAGACGTGCCCTGTTTGGAGTGTGTTTTCTATTCAAGATGTTGTGAGAGTGATGAATCTAGTAAGCTTTATCTGCTTACTTCCTATGATATGTACACTTGATGACTATTGCCTTCAATTAAGAAACTGCCAAGCATGTTTTGTTACTATCAAGTAGGATCATATGTGCTTTACTTGCATTAGTTTTGCGATGGATTCAATGTAAATTAGTTTTTTAACAGACTCATGCATCATCTTTAAAAAGGAGTACTTTTTCTGCTCTGAAAGTATTAGAAGTTGCACATTAGAGACATCCAGGATGCAGAAGAAATCATTAAATGAAAAGAACACATATCTTGCAAGTTCTGAAAGTATATTCATTCATAAACTTGGATTTTATTTTACATATATCTTATGGGCTTATTTTATGATGATATAAATTTGAAGAGGGGATGCAGCTTCTTTGTTGTTTTTTTCCACTGTTAATGATGCTTATCTTTTTTTAGGCTGTCAACATTTCATGCTTAACTCATGCCATTCATTTTGTTCAATGCACAAACACGTAGGCAATTTGACATTTATGAATATGCATATTTCAACTGATTGTGATTTTCTGGTAGCTGCTATTGTAAAGCTTCCTCTTGGACAGAGAAAATCACACACACTGATGCGTAGCTTCTTTATCTTTTTTCTCTCTGCCCTTAATAACTTGGATGTTAATGGCTTGTGTGCTGCATGCAATGCTTTTATGTTATCCACTCAATGTATAGCTTCTTTATCTTTTTCTCTCTCTGCCCTTAATAACTTGGATATTAATGCTGCATGCAATGCTTTTATGTTATCCACTCAATGATATACCCTTGTTGTAACTGACGCTCCTCACAGGTAATACATTTTGATCTTCCCAATAATTCAGAGATATTTGTTCATCGATCGGGAAGGACAGGTAGAGCTGGGAAGAAAGGAACTGCTATCCTTATTCATACTCAAGATCAAACTAGGGCTGTCAAGATTATTGAGCGTGATGTTGGCTGTAGATTTTCTGAGGTGATCTCTCTTCATCCTTTTCATCTCCATTCTTCAATCCTGTTTACTTGAAGTTGTTCCTAGTTTATTATTTTTTTTCTGGTCTGCAAAAATTTAACCTAGATGACTGCCTTTACTTCTTTGCCCTGTTTGGGGGAGGGGTGGTTCTGTTGAAATATAAGCCACATGACTACTGCAGCAAAGAAACGAGGTTTTGGGGAGGTAGAGACTATCCACCTTAGAATTTGAGCCCAAGACCTCCAAGTTAGAATACTTGGAGTTCAGCTGTGGGGTTGGGCCCTTGTAGACATCCCTCATTTAAACTGGAAGACATTAAACATGTGTGGACATTATTTAATGTGTGATTAACGTTTTCTCTAAGAGTAAGTGCCAATTACGAAGTCTTGATAAAAAAAAAGTTGCTGAAAATCTAATCTACTATTCAAAGTTCTTAAATGTATTGATAGATTGGTTGGTGAAGAATTTTCTCAGCTTTAAAGATTTCTGAGAGATAGAATGAATTTATGGTTTTACAGGAACTTGCTTTAAAACCTGCCATAAGATGTTTGGGAATGTTAACTCTGCAGATGTTATACAGATGATAACTTAGGATTGGTTGTGAATTGAGTGATGTGTGAAGGCTGAATACTTCTATCATATAATCTCTACTTAATGCTCAGTAAGTGGGGCTCCATCTTTCATTCCGATGAATTTTACCATCAGGTAGTACAAACGTTTTTTTTTTTTTGTTGGGGGGGGAGGTTGGTAATAAACAAACAGGTATTGGTTTTATGCAAGTATTGATTCACGTGGCGCTTTCTCTGGACACAGAGCTCGGGATTTCAATGCTTGCCCCATACCTTTCCCACTTTTACCGGCCTTGTGCCTCCCTTGTAATCTAAAACAAAAGGGTATATTAGTATGGTTATGAGATGGTTAGAACTTAAAGCTACAAGTATGCTTTAGAATTTAATGTATTGAATATGCACTAGCAATCAAATTGAGTCTTTTGTTAAAGACTTGTTTGTGCATGCAGAACTTAAGTTTTTTCTTCTATGCTTCAATTTGTAGGTCACATTTTGATTATGTATTTACATTAACTTATTGTCTTTTATACTAATATCCTTGTTCATCAGCTACCGAGGATTACTGTTGAAGGTCAATCAGTAGGCATGTTTAATAGCATGGGTGGTAGTCGATTTAGCAGTTTTGGAGGCATGCGGGATCGTAGATCTGGTGATTCAGGTTTTGGCCGTGGTCCGGGATTCAGCCGCTCCAGCTTTGGTAATTCTGATGAGAGGGGAAGGTATGGTGGACCTAATTCTGGTCGTTTCAGCGGCCCTGGATCAAGCCAACCAAGAGGTGGATTTGGGGGATCATTTGGTAATTCTTCTGGTGAAAGTTCTGGTCGTTATGGTTCCTTTGGTGGCTTTGGCTCTAGACCATCAGACAGTGGTTTTGGCTCTAGGCCATCAGATGGTGGCTTTGGCAGATTTGGCATGGATCGAGCAGGAAGCACTGGAGGATTTGGGTCTAGTCATCCAAGTGGTGGCAGTGGATTTGATGGTTCCGCTCGTTCTGGTGGTTTTGGCTCAGGTCAATCTAGTGTATTTGGTGACAGATATTCAAGCCAAAGAAATGCCTTTGGTGATTCTCGAGGTAGTGGTGCTTTTGGGAATGACCAGAATAATGATCAGGACAGTGGGAGAAGGCCCTTCTGATTTTGTGGTAAGTGGTGCCTTTCTTCCAATTCTTATTGTTGGCTTCTTGCAGAGTTTAATTGCTGTCATTTACTCTGAAATTTCAGGCATCTTGGCTTTATCCCCACATATTACGAAGGATGGATGAGTTTATGGCATAGGGATCACTAGTTACATCCATATATTTGTTTAGGAAGGGAGCTGTCCTACAAGTTCCAGCAAGCCTCTCTGGATTTGTTTGGCTCATTATCTTTCTTTTCTCGCGGTTTACTGCATGAAGTACCTCTAAATTTTATTGGAAGTTTTGAAGAGGCAACTTCATGGGGTATAGTAATTCAACTTAAATTCCTTCTAGCAGTTGATGGGAGCAGATTAAAATATATACGAAAGGGTAGGGTGCTCTTCTGTTTATATTTAACTTCTACCATATAGTGGAGAACTATCATGGGGTAGCTAATTGATTGGTAATAGTCATGCTGTCATCATTGTGTTTATCGTTACCCTCTTTTATCGTGATGCTTTCTTGGTTGTTCGTAAAATGAGTAACTGAATTTATTGTTACTGAGTTCATGTAATAAAAATGTCACTAAAGTTGATTTTACGTAACTAAAGTTGATTTTATGTAATAAATTGAGTATCAAATAGTTTTTGGCGTTATTGCATACGGCAGGTTGTGATGGAAATTTGAAGGAGTCTTGCTGAGATTGAAGTTATAATATATGTATCACATCCTCTATCGAGGCCTTGAATCACCGTGTGGGAAGGGAATTCTTTCAAGTTTCTCCTTGTAAATTCTTGAGATTGACTGGAAGCTTCTTTGTTTTTTTTTTTCCCCCCCTCCTTTCTCTAGAATTTACTTTGGAAACTTGGAGTTGGGGATATACAGAATACACCCTTGTTGCTGAACTTATTCTCAGGGTAGTTATTGATGGCACGCATTTTTGGTGCCGAACGTTAACTAGCTTGGCTTATTAGTAATTCAGCTATACTTATTACGGCCCTCGAGTAATTTCTTTTGCTGGAAGTTTTTCTGCTACATTTTCCATGCTACTCGCTATTTACAGCGGTTATCTTGGGAGGTTCGATCTTTAGCTTTTCTTTTAAAATGCGAAAATGGTTTCACATTCAGGCTGCTTTTGGCGTCCTTAATGTAGAGGTGTTTAGATTAGCTTTTCAAAAGTAATTTTATAAAATTCAAGATTAATATAGGGGAGGAAATTGCGTGAAGAGTATTCTTTTTGAAAATGCTTACATGGGATTACTTGGGATCATACTTTATTGCAAATTACGATGCTTTTGGGGGGTAATTTTCTTAAGCACATTATTAATGCCTTGAGCATATTATTAAATTTTTGCATTTTGTTGAAAAATATATACATCGGATAATGTAATTTAAAAGGTTGGTTAAAATTGATTAAACATACTCCTCCGGTCCTAATTATAAGACCCAATTGACTTATTTGAGAAGATTAAGGAAGTAAGTTAAGTTGGTTATTTATAATAAATAAGTGTTGTCATTCCTAAAATATCCTTGCTAATTAAGTATATTGACTAAAACTATCATTATTAGAAGGATTATCTTGGAAAAAATGCATAAATATAAGAGACAAAATGGATTGGGGTCTTATAATTAGGACCAAATAAAAAGTTAAATGGGGTCTTATAATAAGGACCGGAGGAGTATTAAATATGTTTAAAATGTAACTTACTTTCCAAAAATATAGAGGGGGTGAGTGGGAGAGAGAATGAGGAAAAACGAGGCTAAAAATGAGTGAAAAAAAAATGAAACATGCAATTAATTAAGAATAAAAATGAAAAAAATATGCGTTAGATGAACTCAAATGAAGCTTATAAAAAAGAAATCAGATGAATTTTACTTGATAAGATTTATAACATGTTCATTGCTCATCCCGAGCTTCTTTCTTTTGGCATCATAAAACTCATGACCTTTATCCAGTATCCACGTTCAATTTCACCCTTGTCACTAGCTCTTCCATGCATCGACAGGGATCACCCTTGCCAAGCATTAAGCATAGCCTGCTAATAAAATATCACTGTAGTATATCATAATCACCAAAAAAAAAGTAAAGCCTGCCCCCGATGCTGAAACAATGTAAGTCCAGCACAAACACTTTGAGCTATTCCGCGACTGACTCGAACCCGTTTACTCCATTACAAATACGTATTTAGTATTTACATCACATATAATGTTTCAAGTTACTCGACCCAATGATAGGAAGGAAGGAGAGGAAAAGTGAGCCTGACAAGTGCTTAGGCAAATACTGAAAGGCGCACAAACTTGCAAAGCCGGTTTATTTCATCATAAATATGGCACTTTTATCTACTTCATTAATCAACAATATTGAGTGGTCACATCACTTTTTTTTTTTTTTTTTGGTTTTCTTTCCTCTTCTCCATTCATTCCATCCATTGTTAGCTTCTGCATATTTCCTTGTGAAATTCTTTCATGAAAGAATTCCACGCTAGCCACGCTGCACCAACTGCAGGCTCAACCTGGTGTTGCACATGAAATTAAAAGGACGCATGTGAGAATGGAAGAGATAAGATTTATTAAAATACGCTATTTTTTAATATAAAGGTCATTCACAACTCACAATAGAAATGGTGATTGAAAAAATTTCGAGTGCAAGGAAATTAGAAATGGTTGTACGTAGCAATTGTCCAAAGGTAAGAGAGCACTGAATATACTGCTTGTGGAGAAATGAAGAACACTAAGGTACAAAGTATTAGAAATGAGAGGTAGGGATTGAAATTGGGATTCAAAAAACGTGTTAAAAGAGCATTTAGCATAAGACATTGCTTGTTATATGAGATTAAACAAATCCATGTTTGTAAAATTGGAGAATACCATGGGAGAAAGTTATATCCCCCAATCCCACATCTATAGGTTTACCTAATCCCATGAAACAAATAATTACTTGTGATAAATACTTTTTTAATAATTTTTCTTAATTGCTATCTTAGTTCTATCCCTCATTTTCAATATTTCGTACCAAACGGGATCTAAGTTTCTTGGCTTTATCTCCAAGATATAGCCTGCAAGTGCGCATAAGTTGAATTTCCAAGTTGTATCATTTTTTCCAAACAATATTGTGATAATTCTTTTACCACGACTTTCTTAACATCACATAAATCCTACCTCGGTTTCCTGCTTGATCAGCTTTTATGGTAGATTTTTGCTTTTATCCCTCACTTAAACTAAAAAGCAAGACTATAATCACTACCCTTTCTCTTGCAAAGAAAGGAGCATGTCAAGCCATGTAAATTAACTGGAAACAAGATCTGATTTTTATGCACCCATTTCCCAATATGTTTACCCACCATGTGGTTTTTCCTTGGTGCATTAATCAAGATAAACAAGAAAATAGAACATTAAGCTGACCTGAGGTCTAATGGACTGTACCCCGGGAAAGTGCTTAGAGATGCATTTTATGACTTCTTTTCCTATATCCCACCGCCTATTTGCTTCAAGAACACCACCAACCATAACAAGGGGAAAAACACCCTTTCCATCTGCCACCAAAAAGAAGAAGTAGAAGAAGACGAAGAAATTATTAGCCATACATTATCATCACTTTTGAGATTCACAAATCATGCATTATACTCCTAACAGGCAGAGCTAGGACCTAGGTGGATTATTCATATTTTACAACCAAATATAATCAACCTTAGCATTGACACAGCATAGGCTAGCAGTTCTGTCCTCAAAAGAACTACCTGCTGGCTACGTGTACAATATATAATCAATAGAAGTCTCAGTTAAACATTTTAAGGTCTATGCTATATCCATTTTAGATTCAATAAAATAGTTTTCTGGTCAGAGATTGACAAAATTTGGGAAACTTTATTAACATATCCTTATGAAATTTATATGTTTTGCCAATGAATCCTTGTGTTTATTGAATGGGAGGTTAAAGCAAAAGGAGTGGTAAATGGGAAGTCTCTCTCACTTCTAGGTGTATAAACTCTATCATTGAAGCTCCCTTGATCTTCATTATTCGTACTAGACTGGATAAATCTGAATGTGAAAAAAAAGTTCTCCAGCAGAACAGCAACTTACTGGAAGATAATGACAATTACAAATTTATTGGAAGACAATGATGATTAATAATAACTATGAGACTCCTAGGTTATTATAAACCCTGAACGATAGATGAATTTGATAGCAATCCCAATTGCACTTTATCCTTCGTAACTTCCACTTAATGGGAAGATTCATTCTTGAACAGTTAACAAGTTTCCAACAGATCTCAAAATAGAAAAACACAGATGCATCACCAGGAAAAAAAAAAAATCGCTAGCCTTAAAAAATCCCAGCAAACCGTGTTGAATGATGATAATCACGATACACCAAACTACCCATAATAATATTTCTATAAAAGAGAAGACGCATCTGTACTGTAGATATTCAAGCAATTCCGGGTTCCAACTTCCAACAAGAACACCCCCAACCCCCCCCCCCCCAAAAAAAAAGAAAAAAGAAAGGGATTGTTAAAAAGAAGTTTCTTGTTAATAGAACTCCATGAAACACCAGTTGGAGTCCAAGATTCTTTTTTTTTTTAAAAAAAAAAAGGAGAAAATGCAAGTCACTAAAATCAGCACACAAGGCAACTAGGCGCATGAGCTTCAACAGCCAGATAGCAAAGCAACCGGTATCTTGTAATTCTATAGATAACATAACGAATAATAAAAATCTTATGTCATACTGCGACTTTATATACTGAACTCATGGACACCCGCATATACACAAATAATTATAAACCAAATCAGCTCTTCAGGTTAGATAAGAACCTGAGAAGAACTTTAAATCACCAAAGTTCCCTAATTGAGTATTTAAAAATTAGTTCTATAGCTTACTTTGACTAGTTTTTCCTTTATCTCCAGGAACACTAACATTAATATCATGATGAGCATAGATGTCAACTACTAGTAATAAGACTAATCAAAAAATCACCGGACCTTCGCCACATAATCCAAGTCTCTCTACAACGGCTTTTACACTTGAAGCCAGCTCTTGGACAGAGTCTAGCAGGATCTTATTTGCGACCTCATCTCCAGCCTCTGCACAGGACACCACAACAGGGACAAGTGCTGCAATACGAGCCCAGGAGGGATCTGCATAGGTCCACCTGATTTCCAATGAGACAAATAAAGGTTGTGACCCTACATACTCCTCAAATATATATAAATTAGTGCAAGAAATTATAATTAAACTATTTCTAGGCCTTCCCTTAACAAGTAAGAACAAGTTCAGTTTTTGAGTCACAGTGATCATTGACACAGTACTAGAGCCTCCAAAGTTCAATCATTGCCAAATCCCATTTAATAGGCCTGTGCTTTATCCGCACTTAGATCCCCAAGGGCTTCTTTGCAACGAGGCATGTAAGAAATTATAATAAAATTATTCCAGGCTCTAACTCTAGCATTTAACAGCTTGAGCTTTCGATTTGGAGTGTTAGTTAACAGACCAATTCTCTATAGATATCTTCAATTCACTCTCTCAATTTTCCACTTAACAGAGGTTTCCAAGCATTCCCACCATGTTGCCTCTTTTTTTGGGGTGGGATGCTGATCATTTCAGATGTTCTAAATTACATCAATGCAAGACAGTAATAGTACAGTTGCATTTTCAAAACAACTTGAAATCCATTTCAAAACCATATCAATGTGCATCATTTCATCACATCAATCAGAAATGACCTAGGAACTTAGTTTGAAACAATTACTAAATCATGTCACAGAAATTACGTCTATCTCAGACTTGTTTCAGGCAGACAAAAAATCCAAAAACTTGTATCGATTGTATGATGAATAGGAAAGGGGGTAATGCATGCCAAACTTTTGGAATTATAGAACAGACCTCATCATTTTTCATTCACTAGCTGCACATAAGACGGCTTCAGACAAGATTTCTAAGTGCCAGCTATTTACTCCACACAATTTATGATATGAGTAAGTATATAACTGAAATATATACCCGATAATTTCTTCAGGAGAAGAAAGATCGAGTTTTTGTAAAATACTACTTGTTAGCATTGTACTTGGACCACGGCCATCATATGCCTTGATTACGGCGGTTAATGCCTGTGCAGCTATTCCATATCCACTGTAAGGAAAAAAATATCAACCAAAACGTTAGATGCTATTGAAAGAGCATATCCTAGAAGTGATGTGAAATGATAGAAAAAAATCAAATTAGTAAAGCAAGGTCAGTCAACTTTATGTGCAGGGAACCTTTTTTCAGCTAATTGAGTTCCCAATCTACGTATTACAGTACTACATCTCTTTTTTCCTTCCCCAACAAAAGCTAACTTCCTTGGACCAAAAAAGAATATATATATATATATATATATATATATATATATATAAAGAGTTCTTCAACAATAAACTGTTGCTATTTAATAGGTTGGGGACAACTGAAATTTGTTATATGTCTTCGATCAAAAAGGATAGTTCATGAGGGGCCCGTTGTTTTCCTCTTAATGAATGGTCATTGGAAGCAGTTATGCTCGTGAGAAAGATATAACATGCTAGAAAGATTTATCAGTACCTAAAACGCATAGAAGAACATAAGATATATATACATTGAACTATACACATAAAATACATAATTGAGTACTTACTTTCATTACATTTTCAACATATTCATTCAAATGAATGCAGAGAGAGCAGCCATGAGAGACATAGAAACAGCACCAGTGAATTACCTGCCCCAGTCACCTAAGACAGGTCCTGCACCTGCAGCCCTTGCTTCTTTGCCATCTTCGGTAAATCCATATGCAATGGTCCCTGTCCCAGCTATTAATACACAACCATGAAGTTTGCCCATTGTCCCACTTGCCAAAGCAGCCACAGCATCATTCTGAACATAGAGCCTCACATGGCTTGGGAAAATATCTCTGAAATATCACCGCCAAAGAATATTGAAATTAAGAGATTCTGCCTTACTCATGTTTGTTATACTCATGTTTGTTAGAGAATAAAGAAACTAATATGGAACTACACATGAAAAAACAATTTTAAAAGTTACACCAGCAGAATAGACAAAAAAGTTGAAATTTAACTGGTTTTATAGGCGAAGAAGCTGCCTTATACCATCATGGGCTAGTTTCATACCCAGACTGATTACAACGTTGTAGAAATGATATGCAGTATTATTCAATATAACTTACACAAAGCATATATTGTTTATTATCACTCCGCATTTAAAACATCTTCATTGCTACATGTGATAGTTATTTATGGCAGCACTGTCTCAGTAGTTAGCCTATATTGAATAGAGAGAGAATAATAATAATTCTGTTTTATATAAATCAGACTTGAAAATCACAAGAATTAACCAGATATTTTCCACAATAAAGAGGATAGGGGCTTCACTGGAAAAGAAATTTAATGCACCACCAACATGATATGAAAACATAAAATGAACAAAAGATCATTTACTTTCTTCTAGGAGTTAAGGAGAAAATAAGCAAAATTACATGTAGCAACCTTAGCCAAGTGAGAATTCTCTGCTGATCTGTTGGATGGTTAACACCAGAAACAGCCAAGCAAACAGCTCGGACTGAAGATCGTTTTGAGCCACACTTTGAAAGTGCATCTGCCATAACTTGCTCTAATGTTTCCCTTGCAGCAGTTTCTGTGTAAGTAAATAATTGTAACAGCATTACTACTTTTACAATGTTATCTCCATTATATTATCACAGTTATACCCCTATAAAGAGCTCAATAAGAACAATCTGAAAGTATAATAACTGCGCTAATATGACAAGAAAAAGTACCATAAGTACATAAGAAATCCTCTCAAGAGAAAATGTAATATGGAGATGAAAATGAAAATGGAAAGGGGTGGGATCTAAAAACCCCATTACCAGACTACTACAGAATGCCGAATAGACAATCCTATACCAAATTAAATGAAGAGGAAGAATCTAGTATTACAGATGCTAATAATGTTAGATTACCATAATACTACAAAATTCGCTCATCTTCCCAAAATTTCATCCTCTTGCGTCCACTCAAAACCATGAATGTGAGTCAAAAAATATTCCCGCAAAATCTTCAGTGATGTACACCGATCATCTATTGTAGCCCCTCAGCCCCAAAGAAAAATTCAAAATATTCTACGAAAGAAGCAAGTTAGGGGATGATAGTTATTTTTACGCTCCTTAAACGTTGCATTAAAGCTGAATCCCAATGACCCTAAACCATGGATGCTACATGAGAGGAAATGGCAAGGGAATGTTTGGTTGCTATAATTGAGAATGCCTGAAGTGTTAAACAAGATTGTTTGGTTCATATAGCAAATTAAATTTGTACAGTGGCATTTATTGTTATTATTATTTGCAAATTTCATTTGGTGCCCCAAGTCAAAGAGAAGCCTTGGTCTTCGTGGAAAACTTAATCTGTCGAAGTAAATGGACGCGAGGGAGTTATTCATATATGCAATAAACTTATAAGTTAGAATGACCAAAAGGCGTTTGATGATGAAACATTTTAAGCCTAATGTTTGACCTTGGAGCAAGTAAATGAGTAAAACAAATCCAAGCCGTGGAGTCAGAAAATGAGAATTTTCCTTTTTCACTTCATGTGCGTGTATGAAGAAAAGGAAAAGAGGTGAGGAAAAAACAAAAGGCGTGTGATGAGGAAAAGAATGTTGGCCAAAAAAAAAAAAGAAACTACATAAATGAGAAAATACATGGCCAAGGGAATAAGAAAACGAGGGGGGGGGGATGGAGGAGAAAGAGAGAGAAAATAAATGGCTAAAATAACTTTTTCCCCTGCGTTCTCTGGGGAAGTGAATGCAGGAACAGAGACTGTCAATTCAACAATCAACAACCTGTCAAAATAGTAGATTTCCTAAGCAATTTCCAAGATTAGACATCAAGTTTTGCATCCATCTCGTTGTTGACTATTGTCAAAAATATAATTACGCTCTTCACTAGAAGAAATCACCTTTCTAAAAAATTATCGAAATCAAAAGCACCCTCCTTTCTACAATGTATGTCCAAGCTACGCAAGTGGCCTTTTTTGTCTCCCCAACAAGGAACAAGTGCAAATGATCAGGAGTTAACGAACAACCCAACAATCCCAGAGAAAGATGTTCACAAAACAAAAATATCATAAAATTAACCCCACAAAGAGAAAACAAATGCAGGATTTTTACAAGAAAAAACAGAGAATCACCTCCCACGCTATTGTGGTTAGAGCAACCGGCAACAGCCCGAGCAAGGATGGGAAGAGATTCGATTTGAGGGTGTGAAAAAGGAGTTATGGGCATGCAAATACAAACTGTGGAGGTTGTGCCACCATCCAACCCCAGAACGACGCCGGAGGCACCATCCGCCAACGGCATTTCGTACTCGAAATCCCAAATCTCACCATTCCTATACCTCTTCATGCCTGCATCGGCAATCCCCTCGTCCTTGTGCTCCAGCTTCATTAGCAATTACTTGGATTAAATAGAAAGGGAGAGAAAGATAGGTCGTTGAAAGTAAGGGATAGGACAAGGGACAAACGACAGGAAGAATGAGAACAAGGAGAAGACGACTGTGAAATCCGTATATTTATGATCACACAATAAAATGGCGGGTGTGTGTCTCTCTCTATACATATAAAATATAAAGAAGCACAATTCTGAGAGTGGGACGGCCTGATATGAGAAAAATCAAGCCCTATTTCCTCGTGTTAGGATCTTTTAAGGTGAAACTGAGAAATTCAATTAAAAAAAGGGCAGTAGAAAACAGTAAGAGTGGACCTCACAAAACAAATTGAGGATAAATGGAAAGGCAACGACATTCTCTGCAATGCTCATGCCCCTTTTCAAATCCTTATCATTTGTTTCAGAGACTCAACGAACAGAGAGAGAAAAAGAGAGACGAGAGATAGAGAGAGGGAGTTTTGAGAGAGAGAATCGCTATCGAGAAGGAGGGGAGACTTCTGCAGCTTTTGAAGGCTTTATGTGCAAGGGAAGGGAAGGTGAAGTTGTAGGAGGATATTAAGGTCAACGAGAAAATTTTTTTGGGTTTGAAATAAATATTATTAACTTTGTAATTTTTTGTCTCTTAAAAATAATTTATCTTAAAATTATTTTCTCAAATCCTAACTGAAAAAAAATTATATTTTTCATTGAATTACTTTTAATTTAGTTCTTCAAAGATTTCTTCATTCCCTTGCTTCTTTGCAAATAAAAGCATTCTCCGATAGCGAATTAAGAAATAGAAGCGTCTTTTAAATAAAAACTTCATATGATTTTTTAATTCATTTCAAATTTCAGTACATGAAATATTTATTCAATTTTTTCTATTATGTTGAATAATAATTAAGAAATCAAACAAAAATAGATGATGTTAAAATATAAAAATGATAAATCGATAAGAATATAGTGGTGACGAAGGTGAAATCTCTTCTTGTGAATCAAGCTAAGTCTATAATGATTTTTAGTCTCATTATAAGCAAGCCTGGAAAACACAATTAGTAGATATTTTGGCATTCAAATTCCCAAATAAACTTGAAAAATATCGAGGCACTTACTAGGATTAAGGAAGGATAAGGCCAAGCTTTATAATGATATAATATTGGAAAAGCTTGAGAAGAAATTGCAAGTGTGGCATGCTAAACTCTCCTCAAGCTGGTAGATTAACGCTTATTGAACCTGTTATATCTTTTAGTGTTATTGTGCCCTCTTACTTGCATTAAGTTTTCTTCTTATGTCTTTTTCCAAAAAATTGACATGAAGATTGCTTGCTCCTCTTAGAGTATATGGAGAGGTCAAAGAAAAGGTACTTGTTGTCTTAAGGATAAAATCTGCTAGGTCAAATCATTCGGTGGCTTGCCAATATGAATTGGTTTGGTTAGGTAGATGAGTAGGTTCATAATTCATAAAATCACGAGTTTGAATCTCATTGTAAATTTTAAAAATATTTTTTGTGAATAATCTGTAAATATCTCTGTAAGCACTTTTTGATCTCAAGGCATATTCTGGTCTTTTATGGGCTCTCTGGATCCAATTCACTTAAATTTTTTTGCTATAAAAAAAAATTATTAGGTGGTTTAGATATCAAGAAAACAGAAGATTTTAATACAGCTCCGTGAGCAAAGAATATTTGGAAACTAATAATTGTAGATAGGGGTTTATTGTTGAGCCAAGCTATTCAACCCAAGTGCCTATCTTCCATAGAAGAGGGAGTTTTAATTCAAAGATTTCTTCAATTGCCACGTTGGAAAGACATATTATGTACAAAAGACTAGATAATCTAAACCGTACAAGTGCATACAGTTCTCAAAGCAACCTCTTTAACCACCAACGGTGACCTATGCAGTGTGTTCGCCCTTTGACTTCCTCGTCAGTAGGGATTCCATAACTGCAAGATGCTGGAATAGCGGGCTTATCAAGATGTTATGTCATAGCAATGTGGGGGAGGAAATTTTGAGGACTCTCTTTTCCCTTTTTGCTTATGCTGATGAGATTAGTTGGAAGGGTAGTTATGTGGGTTGCTATGCTACTGCTGATGGATATAACCAAATTTGGAAGCGGTGAAATTTGGAGAATTCTGAAAATTAGTTAATGATATACTACTTTTGATCCTAATTATAAGAGCCATTTGACTAATTTGAGAAGATTAAGAAAGTAAATTAAGTTAATTATTTGTCCTAAATAAGTATTGTCTTTCCTAAAATATCCTTGCTAATCAAGTGTATTAACTAAAACTATTATTGTTAGAAGAGCTATTTTGAAAAAAAAAATATAAATATAAGATACAAAATGGATTGGGATCTTATATTTAGGATTAAAATAAAAGTCAAACATGATTTTATATTAAAGACCGGAAGTAGTATAACCAACAAAAGTTACCCCGTTATCTTATGATGTCCTTGTTTAGGCAGAGGATGGCAAGCTAGAGGTGTCACTTGGGATTGCCTGGTCTTATATATAGCTTGGTTTGTTTAGGGGCCTTAATTTTTCTTTTGTTTATTATTTTAAGTGATTTTTCATTTTATAAAGTAAGTTCTTGGCATTTAAGGATTTTAGTTATTGCTAGCTATCTTGCCAGTGAAATGTGAGTATATTAACCTTAAAAAAAGCAAAAAAGGTTACAACCACTTAAAATTTGCAACCTTCGCTTGATGCCACAGTGGCACTAATCTACAATTTAGTTATAATAAAAATGGAATGAATGTGCATAAATATTTTTTTTTAGGAGCCAAACTTGACTTTTGGCATAAGTTGCACTTTTGTTGCTCTCCATGCTTTTGCTCCTTCTCATTGCGCCCCAAAATCGTCCAAAATTTTTCTTTAATATCTTGCCTTGTATCTTTATGGAAAGAAAAGATTTTTTTTTATGAAGAGAATAAAAAATAAAATATTTATATTAATTATTATTATTATTGAATAGTAATTATATTCTCTTGTTACACTTTTGTCTTGTACTACCTCTGGTCTTAAATATAAGAACTAACTAGCTGATTTGAATACATTAAGAAAGTTTGTTAAGTTAGTTATTTGTAATAAATATGTGTAGTTTTCCCTAAAATACCATTACTAATCATGTGTGTTAACTAGAACTACCATTTGATAGAATATTTAATATGTATAACTATTACAATGACTACTTTAGAAAAACGGATAATTATGAGAGATAAAGAGGATTGGAGTTTTATATTTAAGATCAAATTGAAAGTCAAACTAGCTCTTATATTAAGGACTACAGGTAGTATCTTTTTTCTCTCTTTAATAAATATATGAATAAAAAAGATCTAATTTATTATTGTGAATGTGCCTTTTTTTTCTCGGTTGCTATATTTCCAATTATTCCTTTTGTCTGGTTCTATGAATAATTTTTTGCTATGGTTGATTAGGATAATATTGTATATCTTAACAATCTGTGAGAAAAGAATCATGTATCTTTACTTTTGACATTTTTATCGAAGCGGAAAAAATAAAATATTATTACTTTTCTTCGAGGGAATATTTGTTTCCGCTATCTTCATAATAACCTTTGTGTTTTGTGGGCATGGGGGAAAAGAATAATTTTTTTATATTGGGAGGATGATAGTTTAAGAGCAAAAGATAAATTTGAGTTGAGTCCAGAATCAAAAGATTATGAAATTTCAATAAATAATTAAATATTATTAAATAATTTAATATTAATTATCAATGTCAAATTTGAGAATATTAGTAACAAATTATCCATTAACCTTTTACTTTTTTGTGTCAAATTTTAATAAACATCTTTAATATGAAATTTTAGAATATATAATATATTGTCAAATTACTAGACGGCTTGGTTCTTAATTGACATTTATTTTTTATCTCATCCATCATTCTCCAATTTATATTTCACCTTAGACTGGGTTATCGTTTATTATATCAAATGAGCATGTTAAATATTTTGAAAAGTGACAAAATCTTCTAAAAGAATTGTCAATGTAAGTTCAAAAAAATTATAGAAAATACTTTTTTCATTATATTTTTACTATCAATCTTTTGCTTTCATATAAATAAAAATATACAATATATTTAAACAATAACTATAAAATACTCGCTTTCCCTTTTTCCTTTATCTTTAATATTTTTCCTATTTTCAGGTATTAAGAATCACTCATTAATCGTCGCTACACTTGTTACTATGATTGATAGGCTTATCGAAGATCTTTGCAGTTTCTGAGAAAATATGTCCATTGTTACTTGTCTTTTTGCCCTTTTTGGGAGCCAGTTCATTTTTGTCACTTCAATAAGGAAAAATAAAATATTTCTTTTTTGTAGGGAAAAATTCTCTTCTTCCAATTGTCTCCATTATGTTTACTTTTTAGAACAAATTCTCATATCTCACATCAGACTAACTTTTAAAAAACCCATTTTGTTTTTTCTGTTACCTGAGAATAACAATTAATTTAAACCAAGTCAAAAGCAACTTCTTACACTAACCCTATTTTATTCTTAATCAATGTAACAATGTATCAAATGCATCACTGAAATTTTAAATAATAGGGAGAATTACAATGAGATTCTAAAGAAAAAAATAATTACAAAACAAGTCCTAAAAATTATCATGATTTTTTAGTATTTTTTTTTTTAGGACCTCATTATAATTCTTCCTAAATAATATGAATAATGACGAGAAGAGAGGAACCCTTTCTTTAAAGTCATCTGTGGAGCCAAACTTCATAATTTATGTATTACAGGACCTTAAAAGACGTAATTTCAATGCTTTGCCACAAAATTCTATAAAAACTATTACTTTTAAAGAAATTTATAATTTAAAAGAACTTTCAGAGAAAAGGTCTAAAACACTGTAAATCTTAACTTTTGAATTTGAAATTTTGAAAATAACCAGTTTTCAAGATTTTCAATATGAAATTTGTTTAGATCCTATATGTAATATTTCCCAAAAAAAAAATTACAAATTAAAATGTGAAGTGCACTAAGCAGAATATATTTTTTCAGAATGACAGATATTAGCAATGCCCCTTATTATTACCAGCAAAGAAGAACTGTTGCCCATATATAATTATTTATTTACTGACCAAACTCTCATCTGAGAGAAGGAAAAATTAACCGCCATGAACCTCCTAGAACAAAACCAAAATGGTGTCCAGAACTGACTATAACTTTCATGTATTAACTGCTCTAGAGCAAGTTGTTACGAAAACTTGAAAAGGGAAAATAAAATGAAGATAACTGCCATGCAAGGTTAGACAATGATGTACTCAACTTGAGTGCTGGTTCTTAAGCTTGTCGCCATGAGTTCATGCACTTTTTTCGCCTAGATCGTGGAAACAGAAGTTGTTGAATCTGCTTTTCAGCCCCAACTTCAGAAGTTGCCTGCAAATGTGGATTGAAGGCTTATTCTTTAAAATGTTTATACGCATGACTCCATGAAATATCATGAGTTTGTCTACCACCCACTTTACAGAAATGGCTCGAATTTGAAAACACGGCTCATTCATCCAGATACTTATAATTTTATTAACAAGGCAGTCAACTTTTGGGTTTTACAATTTAGCAAATTGTTGCAAACCAGGCAGACATCTGGCTTCTAAAGGAAGACACATTCTTGACAATGACATTACAGCATATCATAAGAATGTGCACTCGGGGAAATGATCAATCTGAGTTGCTTAGCAAATTGCTTTCTTCTTTAATGCATGATATAGGACATGGAGGGAATATGAAGAAAAATAACAAAAGATCTCCCCAAAAAGGAGCCACAAATAAGAGATTGGCAGGAGCCAAGATTATTTTAACAACAGACAAGTTCACTAAGATGTTCACGTAAAATCATGACTTTTAGCGTGACAGCCAGAAATACCACACAGTTCATTGCAAGCCAAGATGCAAGATGCTTACTGGGACTTTGAATGGAAATCGATGAGTTCTGACTTCTGCCCCTGAGAAAACTCTGACATCCAAACCAAGGCTGTCAACCCCAATCAACCTAGCTCCCTGAAAGCCAATTAATAATACTAAGTTAAACAATCAGCTCCATACTGCAAACAGCAGAGAACAGTCAAGCATTTTGAACCATAATTTAGGTCAAACAAACGGCACATGTGAGTGTGAACACAAAACTAATTAGTATATATGCAAGAGCACAACATAACAAATCAGATGGCAGGCATTTTCTACACAAACATCTGGTCAGATCTTACATGCATAAGAGGTACAGGTTCCTTGTAAGGCAGTATCCACTTATTTAGATGATTCCCAACTGTATCCACCTACCCACCCACTCTGTTTAAAAAGGGGGGGGGGGGAAGAGAAAAGGAAAGGAAAGAAAAGAGAAACCAAACCCACCCCTTTTCGCAGGACAGCCAGCCACTTGATGATAGACTTATTCACACCCAAGTCTGCCCCCACAACATTCAAAAAGAGATGCCCAAGGGCACAGGCATTGACCTTGTGATCCCATTCATCTATTATCTTGTATTAGGAGTCTACAGGATTTGGATTTAAGGTTTCCAAAGTGAAAGGGCCGAAATGCTTGTCATTAATCAGAAAGATGGAGAAGTATAGGACGCCAAGTTCCACTTTGAGCGGTTTGGATTGTTTGTGGGATATTTAGGTGTGTTGATCCTCCCACCCTAACACCTAGCTTTGGAGAAGAGTTACCATCCCACTTCAGAACCCATCAATTGGCATTAGAGATGGTGGTAGATGATTTCAGAGGGGGGCTGCCTATAGAGGGTTCAAATTGGCGAGAGAGTCAACTAAGGTGTCACTGAGTGAAGTGTCATGTTGTAGAATGCAGCTACCGAGACATCAGCTCTCTCTTATTAATGGAGATTCAGGCAGCATACGATTCATGAGTTTCAGTATCCCTATACAAGTCCCACCTCTATAGCTAACTTCTGGAAGAGGGTTACCCATCCCACCTGAGCGCTATTTACAAACTATGACTAATCAAATTACAAAATCAGTTATGCAATAAGACTCCACTCTCAACAGACAACAGAATATTCAAATCTGATTTTGAGAACTCTCTTATCTCAATGGTTTCCTCTGTTACAGATAAACCAATTCCAACAACAGATGACCCAAACCTTGTAGATTTTGGATTAAGCAGTTCCAAGAAAAAGTATTAGAATCTTTACGATTGAACAGTCTGGCAGTATAATGATTGTTGCCCCCATTTCTATAGTTAAATAACGTTCAAAGATGATTAAGAGCTTATACTTTATCCATGCTTCAAAGTAGAGCCAAATTGATTTAAGGAGAAGACACACTCTCAACCTTTAGCTCTCTTTGGTTGGGTCACTTCCTGACAACCCTCTCATATTTCTTTATAGTTTGACTTACTTTTGACTTCAATAAACCTGTGCCTATCACCCACAAGTACTTCAAGCCTTGCTACTGAGAGGTCATACATCCTTGGATGTCCAGAGAAGTAAAATTGCTTCCATCTTTAGATTATGAAGCAAAACTGAACAATACTTGCTCAAATTCAACCACCTGCTCATTTATTCTACATTTTAAGTAAACTGGTTCGAGTACACCTTTAATAGTAGTTTACATTTCCACATCTCATTCAATATTTCATCAGAATCACCCAAGCATTACATCTTATGGTTGGTCTAAAATCCAGTAACTACAAATAAGTCTGGAAGCTATAGAATTTTGAAAATTTGATTACCTCAACATCAAGTCCTTTCTTTTTGCATAGGGCTTTAAGAGCAGCATTAAATCTCTTATTGAGGCGTTCTTGAATAGCCGGGTTAGAGAATACAAGAATATCAGGTTCGGCATCTTGAAAGTCTAGTAAATTAATTTCAGACTGCAAAATATTTGGACAGACAGAAGCTTCAGAATAAATTTAAACATATTAACTACTCTAATATTGTGGATAATACAATTCATCATTTCAGGTGATGACGCTTTTGCACGTAAAATATTAGTTCAAAACATATTATTAGATAAATATGGAGAATATAAGGTTTTAGATACATGCCTGATATCCATAGACAGAAAATAACTCTATTTTCAGTATCTCCAACCGATAGAATGTCAACCCAGTGTCTCTGTGATCGCTCATATTGTTGGGGAAAAAATTTTCACCATCTAAAGATTGAATTGAAAATAAGCAATTTTAGAGCATCAACAGTAATTTTTAATATCTTGCTTTAAAATATATTACATCTTCATCTAAAATCACCAATTCACCGTACCTGACAAATCCCTAATCTGAAACCTAAATTATGTGAATTTTGCTAACAGTAAACGCACTTTACTAGTTGTTAGCCAAGGGGGGAAAAAAAAACACACACACACACACGTTACTAGTTAATCAAGTACCATCCTGATACTTCAAACAAGATTATGCAAACTGAATTTAAGAAATACTTGGTTTAATTTAAGCCAGAAAACTACTAGGTGATTGTTTGAACTTGACTCAAGAACACACGGACCTAGGCTTTTTATCCCCAGCTCAATTTATAAAGCTTGTCTCCAACATAAAAACCTAAAAATTTCACTCAAGGGCTCAACTTTCTAGTCACCACAAAAGCTATTGTGGATATTCCCACACCTGGGCTAGGTGTAAAACATGCTCACAGACGTACAGTTGTATTGTTGAATCAAGTTCGACACAGATCCCAAAACAAGATAGGATATGTATCAGTCAGAGATATACTGATCAGAAGTATACAGAAGTAATATGACAATTTCAAGTCAACATAAAGCAATTACCAAGCATAAGATACCTTTAGAGTCTGAGCTGTATCCATCATCATCTTCACTGCGATATACTGTTCTTAGATATGACTCTTCATCAGCAAAAGCAGGTCTAAGGTAACCTAGAATTGAAACACCATTTGAAGGATGGTCCATTCTTTTACCATATTCTGTGTTGACAGCCTACAATGAAATTTTTACTTACACTCACTCTTGTTTCTTCTAGATTTTATGAAGTTGTCCAACTGCTAATGTAGAAAGGAAAGTAAAAGACAGAGTAGATAATGGTCAACATGAACAAACCAGGTGAAGTAAATCTACAATGTGATTGTTTACATTCGTTCAAGCACATCAATGATCAAGAAGAGAACATAATTTTCTCCCCTACCCCATTGCTTGGGTATCCAGCAGACAAAACATTGAAGAGTAGCAAAGTAACTTCAAAAATTGACATCAATAGTGAAATCTATGACCATGCATAATTTCTTAAAATAGTTTTTGTAACAATCCAATCCAATTCATATGTTAAAGTCGGGGTGAACTTGGTAATTTACAGATTGATTCCCAAAGATATAAAGGAGCCATATAAAGTTGGATGGGGTGATTAGAAAATGAAAAGAAAGAAGTAATTAGCTAAAAAAAAGCCTAGGATGTGATGAGTTGAAACAAAATTCATCAAAAAGATAAGGAGGTTTTTGTTTTAAACATTAATAATAGAATCTATTGGAGAACACATGTTGCACATAATAAATTTAATCATCTTCCACCCATGAGCTTTAAAACTTGGTGAAAGGGGGGAAAAAAATGAATGTAGAATACTGGATATAGAGCATGATAGAACAAGAATTGAAAGCAGAGCATCAATATGACAACAATGAAGATGGTAAGGTTTATGACAAATGGAAGTTCTGGTAGACTATCTAATCCCGAGAATTAGAGAAAAATTTAGGATGGGAGAATTGGGTAAAGGTAACTAGGGGCATGACATCAGTACCAAATGGAAGTCCACTCGACGAAAAGTACCTTTGATAGGCACTTTGCAAAATAAACAGGATGAACTGAGACGATGGTATCTAGCGTCTCCCAATTCACTGACAAGTTCAACTCTTCAGACTCCAGAATCTGCATGCAACAAAAAGTAGACTTGTGAATTGGACCCTTAAGGTACATGAAAGAGACAATAGAGACCAAAAGAACTATGCTGTAATCTATAAATTAAGCGTTGGGAAAATTCAAACCTCAATATAATCATCATCAAGTAGGAATTCGTCATTGTTCCCACTATTGAATATGTTGTATTCACTAGCGATCCTTCTATTATTATACAGTGGAAGGTCCATTCCAATCAAAACTCTCTGAAGAAACACAAACATCGTTTATTCTTCAAACGCAAAGTAGCCACATGACGTGTAAGAAAAAATTTGTAATTGTTTCAAAACTTATCCTACACCTAAAACAGATGTCAGGTGAAAGCACCCTATTGGTCTCCAATTTTGCAGTACCTAACTAAAGTCATGTTTTAGACTTGCAGACTTGATAAAATTTTCCACTGATATGTGTGGTGAGTACGCTAGCATTTCTCCTAACCTTTTACACAGCGTGATTGCCTAGTTCTGAAATTCTTGCTCATTTATTCTCCATGGACTAAGGTGGGTGAGACTGATAGAACCCTGCTTAATAATAACAGCCAAATGCAGAGATAAAGGACAGCAGAAACAATAAATGAGGGAAATCCTTAAGTTCTGATATTAATACTTCAAGATACCAAATCAGTGTTACAATGAACTCCACTGATTCTAGCTGAAACCCTATTCTCCTACTACAACCAGAAATCTCTAAGACACATTGGCAAATACTGAAACATAGAACAACACTCAAGATCAGAACATAACCACATCTCCCCTCACCCCGTTCCAAAATGCAAAATATGACCTCCCTCTCTAGGAGACTCCCACCACTACAATATGCCCAAAAAGTAACCCACACAGTTCCCAATACTTCCCTCACCTAGACCAGGCCTAAAGCAACCTATACCAACTCTAATTCATCATTTCTTTCTCCTTAATATTAGGAGTCTCAAGGTCAACGCTCTTACCATCAGAAAGCTGCTTTCCATTTTCCTGAATCTTCCTAAATTACCTTTTATAGGTCTTTGCAGCAAAAGTGATTCTATCAGAGATCCTTCAAGAGGATGAAGGATGCCCTACATGATCCTCCTTTCTTACATCTTTCCTTTTTTATACAATTCTGACTTCATACTAAAAGAAACGATGTGATAGAATTTGGATTCCAAATCATCAAATAGATTCCAAATCTCTTTGATGATTATGGATTGTGATGTTTTTGCATTAGATAGAAATGGGTGGAGGATGAGATATCCTACTATGGATAAACCAATACTACCTCCGGTACTTAATATAAGAGTTAAATAACTAAGTTGTGAATATTAAGGAAATTAGTCAAGTTAGGTATTTGTAACAAATGTGTCTTGGTTTCTCTAAATTACGCTCTTTAATCATATGCACTGGAACTACCTCTTCATAAATGCAATCAATAGGGATACTTTGGGCAAAAAATTATAAATTTGGGAGGCAAAGTGGATTGAGGTCTTATATTTGGGATTAAAGTGAATCCCTTGTCTAACTCCTATATTTAGGACTGGGGGTAGTACCTCAAAAGCCACAGTTAACTATTTTGACTAAAGATGCACAAGCAAGTTGAAAATTTGGAAAAGAAAAGGAGCATAAGATCAGATACTAAGAAAGTAGAAGAAAGAAATAAATATAGGAACAGAACAGACACAGTAACACGGACAGCAACAAAAAATAAGAACTAGAAATCTAATACACCCAGCTTGACAGGAAGGAATATTAGAGTTTGGATATAAAAAGTCTTGCATGGTCAACTGTCTTGTCACTTGTCAAGAGAATCATAATGTAAATGTTCATGAAATCCTTACCACAGGATTACTTGCCCTACGATCTTCCAAAATGTTTGCATCATCAGAGATTTCAAAATATATATCTAAGAAATAAAAAGGAAACAATATATTAGATTGAAAGACACTTGATCTTACACATCAGAATAGGAATTCGTCTGCATAAATGGCTATTCTCACTGCGATTACATCAAATCTGTCACTGTGATTATATAAAGAAAAGCACTTGTATTTGGAGACAACAAACCTCCATAATCATCGATAAGATATTGAAACTCTGCCCATGAAATCTGTTCGTGTGGTTCACAGTGCACTGATCCAGGAAATACTAGCAAAGCGTTTCTATTAGCCTAATATCAACAAACAGCATGGTGATAGGAGGTATTCACATACTACCTAATTTTTCCTACAAACAAAAAATATAACTAAGCTTACTAAATTCTTTTGGGCTAAAATTTGCAAAACAAAGGTACCACAGAATCAAAAACGTATGAGGACACACCTCAACTGTTGTTCTTGCAATTTCAGCAGAAGAGAGTTCAGTCTGCCGAGTGTTATGGCAAACTTTTAAATCTTCGAGAGGATGATATGCTTGGTCACTTGTGTAACTAGACGAATCAGGTACAGAATCTGAGTAGTCTGCAGCAACACAAGCCTTTTGAAGACACAGATCATGCCCCGTCGATAGCCAAAGGAACTGTGATGGCCCCAAAAAGGGACTTTTGCATCTAGAAAAAAATCAAACTTTCTGTTTCAGCAAAAAATGTGAATTAAAACTTCCAAGAATCTAAATAATACATGAAAAGTGGCGATGATAAACTAATATGAGCAAATGCAACTATTACTTTTGTCTTTTTGAAACAATTGTTAGTTCCCAATCCAGGCCAATGGAATGTCAGATTGCAGCATTGGAAAGTTTGCAGCGCTAATGGAATACATGCCTATTTATCAGGGCAATTATGAAAACATATATACTTTGAAATTATGTCATATAGAGGCTTAAACTTGCCTCACTCTTGGAAAAGAAAATACTGAAGTTAACATTCATCCATGTAACATTCTTGAAATTCGTGAAAGTTATTAAAAAGCTTCATGCTTCCTCACATCAAATTAATGAAAGAAGTTAATAATCTCAAAACTTCTGCAATACTATAAAGCAGGAGAAGAGTAAAAATATTTTCAGCACTCTTTCTGAAAAGTAAGTACAGCATGAAAATTGTAAACACCTCACACTGGAAAGGTCAGACACTCTTCTACCATCAAGAGGAGATTTGATCAAATTGCTTCCAATTCCATTTGATATTGAGCAACATATTCCTTCTGCAATACACAGAACAGACATCAAAAGACCTACCAACACTTCAACAGAAATGGCATGTGTGTTTGATTATCTTCTTTTTTAAGGATATGCTCAGAAATGGCATGTGTGTTTGATTATCTTCTTTTTTATGGTGAACTGGTGATATTGCAAAATATTACTATCACAGGCATTTGAAAATTGCTATCACGTTAAGTGTGATTTGCATTAGAATATGTCATGCTGTCTATGAAAATAGTATTTTCCCCCGTATAAAAGAAGAATACATTAAGAAGAATGCAATTTGGGAGGATCAAGAGCCCAAAGCTCTGAACTTCAGCAAACAAAGATCTGTTCCAGAGCACCTCTCTGGCTCGCTCTCCTTTCTACTCCCGTAACCTTTAAACTGGAAGAGAAAATGACTAACACAACCAGAAAAATGCTCCACACAAGTTTTTTTGAGATTGTTTTCTGTTTCTTATAGGTAATGGCAATCTTTACTTTACAAGACAATACAATAGCAGTAACCTCACAGAAAGAAAGTAAACGAGCCAAATGAATGGATACTAAACAATTACTAGCTAATTTCTCAGAAACCCTATAGTCTTAGCCTTGTCATGATCAAAGCTAGCTTGAAATCTACTCGCAACGATAACTAATCAATTACATCCACAAGTCACAACAATGACTCCCTTAGTTTTGAAAAAAAAACAAACACACTCTACAAACCATCTGCTTCAAAGAAACAGCCTTCAAAGTGTCAAGTCTGTTGCATTGTTTGATGACAAAATGTTTGACCACAAAATAAATAAACCTTCATAAGGAACTTGCAGATTTGACGGAAAACCAAGGTAACATCCCAAACATACTCAAACCTTCATGGACAGCAAAATCCTACTACTCAACCACCAGATATTGCTATTCATTTATTTCACACCAAGCACCAACCAACTTGTCTTAGCTGCTAGCAAACTTTCTCAGTTCATCATGAATCTTGGTTTTATCTGTTGACTCCCACTTATCAAACAACAAACCTTAGTTTAACCTTGAGACAATCACTTCATCATATTGTTACCCCAGTGTACTAATAATTATACTAATTGCAAAGGGAAAGGCACAAACAAGCTTGACAAAGTCGCATGTCACCGAAACCATTTCATTGATTCTTTATTTTCTGGGTCACAAAGAAACAATTATTAAGACTTAGCTCTTTCCTCTAACCTTCAAGTCACCGTTTTCTGGAAACTCTAGTTTTGGATCTAGAAATGTCTTGAGTAAATAGCGGGGAGCTTCTTGTAGCACACCCAAAGTAAAGGGATTAAGAGTTAAAATGTAGGAGCATTAATACATATTAACGAGGATGAGGGGCCAATATTCTTAAGTCTGCCAATAATACATTATGTTCTCCCTTACTTTTCTCCTTAGTTTTAACTCAGTATTTTCTTAACAGTTATTAAGATATCTAAATAGCCTTAACAAGCTTTTTCATTCAAGCAAATGAGATTTCAATTGCAATGTACCACCCTGAGCATAGGGTTAATTGTGTTGTCTAACATTACATGTCTGACATTGGGCAGCAATCAATAATTCAACACTGAAGGCGTACTTCGCCTTGAGTCTCTCCCTCCAAATAAACTAGTATTTAGATATGAGCTCTTCTAAAGTATCATAAACTTGACCGCGGCTTAGATACAAACGTGCAACATAAGTGGTCACACCAGCATTTTGGGGTGGGAGCTAACACAAATACAGCCTTCAGCGCATGACGGAGTATTAAGACACGACCCAAGTGGTCTCATTTTCCCACCTATATTCCAATTTGATAACTTTATCGATTCAAAGAACAGACTTATTGTCGCTAACAGCATCCCATGTTAGAAATATCTTTGGCATTACGGCTGTAAAGCTAGACTCTGCAACGCTGGGTGAAAATACAGAGTGGGGTTCATATCTGTCCCATTAGTCACCGATGATGACATTCAAAGTATTCATAACCGAAATGTCCTCGCAGTAGAAGTATGCATGGGAGAAAATTTCCCATTGACCACAAAAACACCACGAGACAAGGCTGATAACCATTTGAAAGTAAGTTCCCCCAAACAGCAGATTATGAATAGCAGCTTCTTCGAAACATGGGAAAATGAAATACCAAGATTAACAATTTCCCCATATATTCCTTCGATTCAAACAGAAACAAAAAAGCGAAATCATAATAAACCAGAAAGCACTGGGCGAAGATTACCAGAAGGAAGGGAAGAAGCTGCAGCTGCGGCAATGGCCATAAGAAAGAAAATCGAAAAGAAAGACAGAGTAAAACGATTATCAATATTGCCAAACGACTAAGCCCTGGTGTTTCAGTTACTCAGTTTCAGATTGAAGATTCTCTGCGTGTCGTTTCTGTTGCAGCCTCTCGGAAGCACATGGAACGGGGGGCTTCAACGACGAACGTGCTTTACGGCTTTACCTAACCTGGGTTCAAATGAGGATAAATATTAAATACGTGATTTACGCAGATCCAAATTATTATTATTTAATTTTATCCTCACATGGTATGATATAGTCGTATTTAGAAAATCTTCAGCATTAATTAATTGTATGTGCTATTATTTTAGTATGCTACATTACAGAATTAAGTGAGATTTCATAATACTATCTCAGTGCTTAATATAAGACATTGTTTGACTTTTATTTTGATCCTAAATATAAGATTCTAATCCGCTTTGTCTCTCATATTTATGCTTTTTTTTAAGGTACTCCATCTAATAATAGTAGTTCTAACCAATACACTTGATTAGTAAGAATATTTTAAGAAAGACAACACATATTTATTATAAATAACTACTCCCTCCGTTCCTTATTATAAAAGACATTTGATGCTTATGGCATGTTCCCATATATAAGAGACACTTAAAAGTTGTCTCTATTTTTTTGTATTGATTTTCTATTTTACCCTTATTTATTTTGTCTCCAACTCATACTCTCTCTCCCTCCCACTTCTCTTCTTTTTAATAATTTAATTGTTCTCTCTCATACTTTCTCTTCTTATTAATGGGAGCATTGTTGGAAAAAATATTATACTTTTTACACATTAATTGTCTTCAACTAATTTTAACTGTTTTTTTTATCAACGTAATATGGTTATTTGTCTCTTATAATAAGAAGCGGAGGGAGTAGTAGAAAAAGTACAAATTTAAACTCGTGTGAAAGTAAAAGAAGTGGAAAATTCTCAGGTCTCAAGTACAACAGTGGAATATAACTTTTTTTTTTTTTTGGACTCAAAGTGGAATATAACTTTATGAACAAGCATATTCCATCTCCTTTGCAGTCCACATGTTATTTGATATTAAAAATATAGTTTGTAATTGGCCAAATATATATATAGTACCAAAATAAAGAACGTATATCGTGGCATAAACACGTTTGTCTTGTTTTTATAAGCAATGCTACGTTGCCTAATCCATTGAGCATGTGGCAATAACTGAGTTTCATGTTACCAACTCGAGCATCAAAGTGAAACACATGACAAGGACATGTGTGTGCCTTGGAAGGTATCTTTAGGAAGTATTTGGATAGAAATCAAATCATGATTTTAAAAGTGTTTTTATGGTATACAAAGTAAATATATAGAAGAATTTATTTCATTTTGTGAAAAATCACTTCTCAAAAACACTTTTAAGGATCACCAAACATCCCTTTAGTAAGTGAATACAAGGCACGTTCAAGTTCCAACTTCCAACTTTGGTTAAAAATAAAATAAAATCCCATAACCGAAGATTCCTAAGCCTTGCGGCACCAACCTCCTCTTTAAACTTGTGCTGCAGATATGTATTTTTCATTTGATTCCTATATTTGAAAAATGTAAGAAATTTCATTCACAATCAAGTGATTAAAAGGCATTTTAGGATGATTAGTTATTTTCGTTATTTTTAACCTAATTGAGCAAAAATTCTCCTATTTATTTAGGTAAAAACTCAAACCTTAATTCTTCATCTATTTTTTAGTCCGATAAAAAAATATTACTTTTGGTCCTTAATATAAGAGCTAGTTTGATTTTTAATTTAGTCATAAGGTCCCAATTCACTTTATCTCTTATATTTATTCACTTTTTACAAGATAGTTCTTGTAGTAGTTGCGCGTGTTAATGGTTTTATTACATGGTAGTTCTAATTAATACACATGATTAATAAGGATATTTTAGGAAAAACAACACATATTTATTACAAATAACTAACTTAACTAATCCTTTTAATTTATTTAAATTAGTCAACTAGCCTTTATATTAAAAACTAGAGGTAGTACTAAATTATTTGACTCTAACCATGAATCTAGTATATTACATGAAGTCTGATAAACAAGCGACAAGGTTTATGTTTATAAATATAGCAAACTTGTTAAAATTTCTATATGGATAGGAAAGAGGTCTCATTAGTGCTTGATCATGTTCCAGATGTTGTTATTGAACAGAATACCTATGCATGCAACGAAGGAATATGGGCAATGTTTTCTGATTACTAATTGTAGCGTGGGCTTAAATTATGATGATGAGGATGTCAGTGGGCCTATTAATATTGGGCCAACCTTCTGGTTGGCAAGCTTCCGATCCCCTAATTTTAGGCCCAAGCCCAACAACTAAAACCAGTTCTATCTCGTTTGTCAAGCCCACTTCGCCATCCTCTTCCCCTTGGCATCTTCCTATCCTATGGCTCCTTTTTCACCATCTCTGTCAAGTAGACGTCACGACGACCCACGTAACATTAATAATTAGTACTATTTCCGATTCTAATTATAAAAGCTAGTTGGCTAATTTGAAAAGATTAAAGAAATAAGTTAAGTTAGTTATTTGTAATAAATAGGTGTTGGCTTTTCTAAAATATCCTTACTAATTAAATGTGTTAGCTAGAACTACTATTATTAAAAAGATTGTTTTGGAAAAAAAAATACATATTTAGAAACAAAATAGATTGGGGTCTTTATTTATATTTAGGACTAAAATAAAAGTCAAACAAGATTATATACTAAGGAACGGATATCAAACAAGACAAAACTTGGAAATCTGAATCACATCGATTCATATATGACTGTGCGCGTTTAAAATCGCAGAACAATCCTATACGTACTCACTGTTAATAATTTATTGCTTCTTAATTGATTTTGTCTCTATCGATCTCCCACTTGTTCATGAGCTGCTATATATAATAACTTCGCTTTAACCCTACTTTCTCAGCAGATAGGACAGTAGAAATATCCATTATACAATAGAACAGAGAGTTACCGAAAGATCGATGGTTGAAGAGTGGCGGTGTGAGGAAGACGGTGGCTGTTGCGGTGGGGATATGTTGATGACGGCGACGATGATGGTGAAGCGAGGGAGGCTCTGAATTGTTCGACGATAGGGACGTCGTTTTATATGTGTTTTCTGTACCTGGAAGGCGACTTCGATAAGCCGCCGCCGGAGTGCTGCGCCGGCATTAAGGTGGTAAAGAATGAAATTGGGCCGAACCGGGATGACTGTCGCGCCGGCTGCGAGTGCCTGAAGTACGCGGCTTCGTTGTTCCCGAGATTGCAGCCGCAACGGGCTGTGACGCTGCCTGGACTTTGCCAAGAAGACGTCTGCTTCCCTCCGATCACCAAAGACACCGATTGCAGCCAATGCCGCGGGAACGCGCCAAAATGTGTGTTTGTGTGAATAGCTCAAATATGGCCAGCAAAAATGGTTTGGTGATGAGCACAAAAATTATTTTTTTGAAAAAATATTTTAAAGTATGCAAATTGAAAAAGTTAATACTCCCTCCGGTCCTTAATATAAGACCCATTTGACTAATTTGATTAATTAAGAAAGTTAGGTAAGTTAGTTAATTATAAGAAATATGACATGTTTTTCCTAAAATATCATGATCATCTTTCTTAATACATTTCTCCTTCTTCTACTTGAGTATGATTTAGAGAATATCTATAGGGATAATTTATAGAAAATTGATAAATATGAGAAATGGATCTTATATTTAGGACCAAAACCAACTCAACAATTGGGTCTTATATTAAGGACCGGAGGAGTATAATTTTTGGTTTATTAAATTTGTTCTTATTTTAGTTTTAATCATTCAAGTTTCAAATTATAGTTTGAGAGAATATATTTACTGCTGCCTTTGGTCCTAATTATAAATACAGACTATAAACAAAATCTTGTGATAGGATTAGAGTTTAACATATTATGCTTTGTTAGTGAAATATAATAATGGACTAATTAATCATAAAAGGTTATTAGTGATTAGTTTTAAGAATTGAGGTTGATTTATTGTAAACTTCTAAAAAGTCAGAGGAGGCGTGCGTATGAATAATATATGGCTAAAAATTTCAGGGGATTAAGTAATTTTTTTATTGGTCAAAGGGGATTAAGTAAGTTAATTGTATTCTTTTTATTTTTTTATATTTTGATTTGATCTTCATATGAATATATCATATAATTGTTTTTTATTTTTATTTTAATTGATTGTATTCTTCACAATTTAAATTTGGTGTTTGATTTTCATTTTAGATTATGTAATATATTGTTTTTTAGAATGTGTGTTTATTTTGAGTTATAACTGAAAATGTGATGCTTTGTTGGGCAGGATTCATTGAGTTTAAAGGGCAGGGAGAAGAGCAGCCTACGTAGAAGAGGGAGCTGAATTGGAAAAAGTTGCCTGTTTTCGTATATTAGTATAAATTTGTATGTAACGCATATATTATAATAAATATGAAGAATAATTGCATCTCTCTATGTGTTTACTCTTCATGTTTAATTAATAGAAATTAATTAAAATCATCGCTGAAATTATTTTTCAGCTTTTGAAAATGGATTAATCAAAGAATCACATGGGACGCACTATACATAATTTCTAAAGCCCATTAATTTAAGGAAAAAAAATGGTACTGTAAACTTTTGGTGTGGTATATATAGGGTTAATATATATATGTGTCTATATATATATATATAATCTTCATTGCTAGAACTATATATCTAGCTAATTATATCTAGTTGGCGAAAAATCCAGCTATTATATCTAACCATCTCAAATTATTTCGACATGCAATCATATAAAATAAATTTTCAATAAATCAAAAGGTTTTACTACAAATAAATTATTTTAAGGCTATTCAAATCAGCTCAAACTCGCATATCTTAATATACATAGGCTTTTTCTATCTTAAGTAATATGCATGTGATTCTTTTTGATACACTCGCCTACTAAAACTCTAAAATTTTGATCGAACAAACCACTATTGTTTTCATATGATATTCTAAATAGGCTTTTTATTTGGAAAATCAGAAGTTGTTTTTAGCAAATTCAAATTCTACTACTTAAAAAAAGATCATTTTTGTCTATTCTGGAAGTCTTTTTTCATCTATTTAAAGGAGGACGTAAACAAAAAAGACGTAGATCAAAGCTTGATACGCGT